GCGGGGGTCTGCTTCTCCCTCTGACCCTCCCCCCTCTCATGCTCTCTCTCTCTCTCATTCTCTCTCTAATAAATAAATAAAATCTTTAAAAAAAAAAAATTACTTCTTATATTTAGTCAAAGACTGTGAACTAATATAGTGGGTTGATTGCATACTTTTTTAAGCTGCCAAAAACAAAGCACTGAAAACAAACTGAATTTCTAGTGGCAGAATCAGTACTCAGGATCAAAATCAACTTTTTAAAGAAAACTGAGGCACAAGTGAGACAGATATTAAGTATTCCACACTCACCGAAACAGTTACTGAATCCTGTACATCTTTATGACTAACCAACTGAACATTGCCATCTTCATAATAGTGAACCTGTGTGAGACAATGGTTGAGCAAGTTTATGTGTAGTTCATACAGAAACCTATTGCTAAGGTACAAATCCATGCCTAAAGCCATGCCCAATCTTTTTTTTTTAAAGCCATCTCCAATCTTTACCAACTCTGAACAAAATATTAATATGACCAACTGTAACTTACAATGGTGGTTAAAATTCACAGAATACTTTAAATTTTTAAGAATTCTCACTTTTCTTAGCAGGGGAAACTGATTATTAATGAAGTTCAACAAATATTTATTATGTGTTATTACATTCCAGGCACTGTGCTAGTATTGTGAATACAAAGACCTTAAATAAGATTCCACTCTTAAGAGTATTAAAATAATTAAAATAAAATCTAACATTAGTTTTTCTCTGTGAAAACCAAGGAATTTTAATGGATCCTAATCCCTTACATATCTCTCCACATATACAATCATCAATATTGGTAAGTAGATCTGACCGAGTGCAGGAAAAACTTAATTGACAGTTAAAGACAAATTGAAAAAAATATGCTACTGGTAAATCAGACTACAAAAAAGCAAGACAAAAGCAGTTCTGAGGATGTATGGTAAAGTGGGGTGCTACAATTATGAGACCAATTAGCAAGAAGGAGGCATACACAAGAGACAGACTAACCAACGACATACCAGAAAGTTTTGGCAACTTACAAGATAGGTTCAGTCACCTTAACATGGCTACAAACTGGCCATATAAAATAGGATGAGTATCCTTTTGTTATGTGCATTTGAACAGGGTCTTGCAAATAGGAGTTGTCACCTAAATGGACAAGTAGAGAAGGACATCTAGCAAGGGGATAAAAAAAGTACAAGAGAATGGTTTAGTTTAGGGAAGAATAAAGAACTCACTGCAGATGAGTATGTGTGGAGGGTAGTGTGGCAGGAGACAGTGCTCTGATGTAAGCTGGAGACAGACTGTGAAAAGCAAACTGCCTTATAAACCATGTTAAGAATTCAGACTTTATCCTATTAAAGGTGATGGGACTCAGGGAAAGGGAATGTTTTAGAAAGATTAGACTTGTGTTATGAAGAAAATCACGTGGAAGGAGTGAAACTGGGGCATAATGCTAGAATAGTAGTCTAGGTACTGCCCGTTTCCTTCATCTAGTCCAGGCTACCAGGAGACATTTGGACAAAAAGGAATGTTTGTAGAGATAAAGCAGAAAGAGAGAACTATACCTGCACTACTACAGCTATTGAGTCCTTACTATATGTTAAACACTATGCCAAACATTTTAGTTGTTACTTATATTATCTCATTCAATCTTTACAAAAACTCTGAAACAGGGACCATTGTTATTCCTATTTTTATTTTTTTTAAAGATTTTATTTATTTGACAGAGAGAGCACAAGCGGGAGATGGGGGGGTTGGCAGGCAGAGGGAAAGGGAGAAGCAGGCTCCCTGCTGAGCAAGGAGCCTGACACCAGGTTTGATCCCAGGACCGTGAGATCATGACCTGGGCTGAAGGCAGACGCTTAAATGACTGAGCCACCCAGGCACCCCTGTTATTCCTATTTTACAGATAAGGAAACTGAGGCTTGAGGCAGTTTAATAACTTATCCATGTTCACATACCGAGTAGGAAGAGGAGCTAGAACATGAATTAGGTCGAATTCCAGAACTAAAACCATGTCCAACATGCATAATACCTCCCACTGTTAAGTTCTGTCACAAAATTAGAAATTCCCTGATCCAGGTAGAAGTAACGTGTCTCATTAGGGACAGTCTTCTAAGATATCATTAGAAGGGGATTAAAACAGCCAAGCCTTCATCTAGGCAGAAACCACTATCCTATTAGCAAGAAAAGCACTTCCCTGGGCAATATGAATCCACTACAGAGCCTTGTTTAAGGGGACAAAAATAGCTGGCTCTGTACAGATGCGCAACACAAACTAGACTTTCCATACCTTCTCCAAACACTTAAATTTCATCTTTTGGCTTTCTAAAGGAGTTTAAAGAGAAAAAGACAATTTAAGAATACACTGGAAAAGCAGGGAGTTGATAAATGCCTAATACCTACATGCAAGATATCAGAACAGAAAAGATCTGGGCAAAAAAGCCTGGGCTAAGTAATGATGACATATAAAGGTTAAAATTCCAACAGACAAGTGAGATAGGGAAGCCGAATGGACTCCATTCTAGAAAGGCCCTTTTTCTGCTGTTTCTCTGCTAAGTCCTATTTACTCATGTTCTCATACTTTGCATCTGAGTAAACCAAAGAAGTTATGTTCCCACTCCAAGGGGACACAAGAAAGTTAATCATTTTCTAAGTTTCATCCTAGGCTCCCAAACACCTGATAACATCTAAGAAGAAATGGATCCCAAGCACATTCTAGGACATTAGCTTCGAACAAACCTTGGTTGACACTGGCATTAATATACCCTACCTTTGGTGATTTATGGAATACACCTATTGTTCACCTGGCACTCACCTTTAATTGGAACCTATCCTGAATTCCTGAAGGAACATGTACTCTGGATCCCTTTCCAGTATAAATCCCTAACGCCAAGTTATGGGGAGACTCACTTTTCCTTTTCTGAGTCTCCCAGACACTCCATCTGCTATACTCTATCACTTACACTATTCAATAAACTCTGCTCTCACTTCCTCTTGGCTTGAGTTTCATTCCTATGCTATGCAAAACCAAGGACCTTCCTGGCTGGTCCTATGGGGCCCCCTCTGAGTCTTCAGATCTGGCCTGCCTATGTTACAAGGACAAGGATGTTCAAAATACAGGTGGGTCACACCCAGACACTAGTTTTGTTTGATCATTTTTTAACTAAGAAACTGAAAGTCCAGAGGCTGAAAAGAACACTAGGAAGAGGAGTGAGTACAAACAGGACAAGGGATATTTAAAAAAATGGAGCTCTGTCCAGAGAAGAAACAAGGACTTACATATTTGAGACAGGTGTCTCAGAACCCAACTGAAAGCAGGGCACATCTTTTTTTGTCCAAGAATAAGGACTATGCAACTGGTTTGAACTTCTATCATGTGTGTTAAGAACTAGAACATGAATAGGAATATAGAGTAAGGCCGCTAAGGCTTGCTGTTTATAAACTCAGTTGAAAATTCTAAAAATATTGACTTCATTATCTAATACACCAATGACAAATTAAGCTTAAACTCTGAGGGTTTCTTTTCTTTTAATTTTTAAAAATTTTTTAAAGATTTTATTTTTAAGTAATCTCTATACCCAGCACAGTGCTTGAACTTACAACTCCGAGATCAAGAACCAGCCGGGTGCTGCAAACCCTGTTGTAAAACGAAACTTTTTCTTTTTTGGGCAGGGAAGGGAACAAACCATTTTACTGAGGTGCTTAGGGGGAGGAGTCCAAGGGCTGGGAGGACAATGACATCAGATATCCTCAATGAGATCCTTGGCCAGGATCTCCCCAGCTTCAAAGTTGCCAAAAGCAATAAAACCTTTCTAGGTCTCATCTGCTAATAAAAATTTCAACATGACTATCATCAACATAAATCCTCAGAAACTGTTGACTTCCCAGAACTACCCTTTTGCCTATAGAATAACCAAAGGGCTAAATATCTTAGTGACTTTTCCAAGTAATTCTCACTCTGATTTTTAAGATATGTATATGAAGCAAGCTTTTCCCCAAGGTGTGGTGAGCCAATCTGGTTAGAAGGTGTAAATAAGATCTGGGTACTGACCCCTATTTGAAGTCTTACCAGAAACTATCACCCTTTATGATATGTACACTTAATTTATAGATAGGTTTGCATTCACACAGTTGAAACACAAGCCAACTATTTCCTTCTAGAAGAAAATAAAGTTACATAAATTTATAGTAAGCTGCTCAGTTAATGCTAATGTCACAGTTACGGGAGATCTAAAGCATTAGGCTACTCATATATACGGTTAAACAGAAATAGAATAATACATATGTTGTCTTAGGTTGGACTCCCCTAGAAGCATACCCCTAGACAAAGATTTGAGAGGAAGTAATTTGGGAGGTAATCTCAGGAAGGACTAGTAAGGACTGTGTTACCAAGACACAGAAGGGAAGGAAGTGTTATAGATGCATTAATGAACAGGTTATAGCTGGGCCCTGGACTCTGGAAGACTTAGCAGAACATGCTTCAGAGTTGTCTGACCTAACGGGTGAGGAAGCTGGCATATTTATCTACCAACTCTTGTATGTCACTACAGATTGCTCCAGAGCTGTGAACTTAACATTTCTAGCTTGCCTCATCTGAGTTGGGCATGTTCCTGTGGCTAGGAAAAGTTCCCAGGAAGAAAGCTGCTGTTACTTGTAGCAGGGAGCTATCCTGAAAAGAGTGGGTACAGATGATATCTACCACATATGCTCTGATTAAATTACACCGTTAAAAAAGGCAGCTCTTGCTAATTGTTATAAAAGCAAGACTTAACGCAATATAATAGAGGTACGATTAAATACTGATTTTCTCAGTTATCATTAACTTTTAATATGACCTGAGAGTTAGCTGGGCTTAAGAATTAAATCACCCTCAATTTGAAAGTCAAATCTCTGCTAGGATATCAGAAGACTTTGACCCAGATAGGCATCCAATGAATTAACAAGCTCCTTATTCACCTGCCTATCTGTTCTGAAACAAGCATTAGAACTCTGCTCAGCTTGATTACTTATATTCCATACATGATGACACTTGGCAATTCTCTCTAGTTCCTCTGTGTTATTTACTTGATTTTAAAACCTTCTGTTATTACTGTAAAAAACAAAATAATCCCATTCATGTAGCTGTTTTCAGAGCAAAGAGTTAAGTTTTATGTCTATGTACACACTTAAATGAGGTAATATACAAGAGACCCTAAGTAAGTTACAGCAGCTGCTACTTAGTCACTTAATAATTGTTTTCTTCTTTCTTAGAACTGCTATTTTAAAAAATTATTGTTATTATTATTATTATTTAAGTAGGCTCCATGCCCAGTGTGGAGCCCAACGCAGGGCTTGAACGAACTCACAACCCTGAGATCAAGACCTGAGCTGAGATCAGGAGCAGATGCTTAACAGACTGAACCACCCAGGTGCCCCCAGAACTGCTATTTGATAATTCCTGGAAAAACCTTAGGTTATCTTTGGAAGAGAAAAATAATAAGCAAGCAGTACATACCACATGACTATCCTTTATCAATCCAGAATAGCTCTTTTTAACTACTTCCCCAGAAAGGAGGCTCCTATTTCTATTTACTACCGTCCATCTTCCTTTGCATCTATCTACATATAGTTGTTCCTTACTTCAAATACCAACTTCCATGTTTGTTTTCAAGATGTGACATTTTAACATGGCCTATTAACATGTGGGGTCTCACCTGAATCTTAAGTACTCCAACCACCTGGGCTGTAGGTGGTGTGATGGTGAACTTCCACTCTGATCTCCAACGACCATTCCTATTAAAACACATACAAGACTGCATAGTTAGCTATTAGCCCAAGAAAGAGGTGATTTGCCACTAAGGCAGAGAATCTGGGAAGCGGGGGTGAAAGTCATTTCCAGTTTGACATATCTAAGGCTCTGTCTACTCAAATATAAGTCTATATCCAAGTGCCTAAACATAAGCCTTTTCTAAGTTATTTTGACTTTCATTTTTCAATCTTGGAATAGAAAACCATGCCTATACTGTTCATGGGAGGCTCTTCCACACACAGATGGATGGGCTGCTGAGTTTTGCAATTAACTCACATATTATTAACCAAACCCAAGTAAAACTCAGATTTTCAACTAGGCACTTTATTAATCAATCACTTATTCTCACTCGATATTAAGAGCACTTTTTAAAAAGATAGATTATAAAATCTCAGAATTGAAAGGAATCTAAATGTTCATATCTAAATCCCTCATTTTACAGATGGGGAACTGAAGTCTCTCAAATAAGTTATCCCAAACTAGTTAGATTAAAAACCAAGTTTCAACTGCTGGTTTGGTTTCTTTCCAATATAAATTAGATACAAATAGAAGAGAACATCTGCTTTCTTACCAGAAGTTTTTAGGCTGAAACTGGTGGCTTTCAATACATGCAATAATGGTCTGTTGCCCATCTATAGTTTTAGCATAAACCTATTGTTAAAAAAAAAAAAAAGTTAGACTCTGAAAACTTATTTAATCTAAGTGACAAACACTGTACAAAAGCAGCATACTAAATTCTTGGGGGAGACAAAGAATCAGGCAGGATGAGCTTATAACTCACAAGACTTCATGGGATGTGAACACAGAGCATGTTTAGTTCCACAAGAGACCATGGTACAATGAACGCAGAAGGAAATACTACTCCTGACTAGGGGTACAAGGGAGATGCCGGTTAGGCTGGGCCTTACAAGACAGGTGAGATACTCATAAACAGAGACTGAGAGGGAAGATGAGTAAACTGTTCAGACAGGAAACTGGGGGCTTGTTCAGTGAAATGGTGATAATCCAGGATAGTAGATTTAAGTCCCGTAGTTGTAGATGTAAGGTAAAAAGTCTGGACATTATTCTACAGGCAACGGACAGAACCAAAACAATATAACCAGAACTATCGTTTTGGAAGAATAATATTGGTATATAGGATACAATGGAGGAAAAGCTGAAGTTGGTCAGGAGGCCAGAGCATTAATCTAGGCAATATGTCAGGGTAGTATCAGTGGGTATCAGGATGTAGAAGCATAACCAAGTCTAGCAATATACTGCAAGTGAAGGGCAAAAAAGGGGAAAGAGCCATAGTACTTGCACGCTGAGATGACCAGAAAGATGTCATTAACAAATTGGGAAATTCAGCTAGTAGTTAGAAACCCCAACTGTTCCTTAATGTGGAAGAGGTGAACAGAAATGCAATACGAAGGAAAAGCAAAAAAAACAAATAGTGCTGTACAGTCCACAAAATGTTTTCATGTTTACTTTCCCTATATTGAATAACTATGAGCTTTCAAGAGAGAGAAATACAGCAATGGGGAATGCATACATTTACAAAGGTAGGGGAGAAGAAAAGAAGTAGAAACAGACTTAGAATGAGTAAAGGATGCTGACAGAGCAGTCTAAGCAAAAGAGAATTTCTGGAAGTAGCTGGTTGGTCTCAGTGTGAAATAGCATATGGAAGTCAAGGATGAAGAAAAGGATACTGAGTGAGGCAATTCAGGAACCATCAATAACCTCAGAGAGAAATTTCTGTAAAGACTGAAGCCAAAATTCACAGGGTTAAGAAGTAGATAGGTAATGAAGAAGTGGCACTAGTAGGAGCAGAATGCTCCCAGGTGTGGTTATGTAGCAGAGAGAGATAAGGGAAGGAAAGAAGTGAAGGAGAGTGAGGAGGAGCAAGAGAGAAAAAGAGAAGAGAAGTAACTTAGAGAAATTATTATGACTGAGGAAGTTTGTTCTCCTTAAGGACAGGAGAAATAAAAATATTCTGGGTAAAGAGAAATGTATCAGATAGGATAATATAAAATCAAGAATAAGGATCCTTCTTCCTAAGATTAAGTACAGTGGAAGAGGGAAGACTGCTGAGTGTGGAAAGAAGAGAAAAAGATTTCATGTCAGTCTTACTAAAATGTGGGGGATCAGAAAGATGCCTAAGGACAATGGGAATGGTTTGGAACACGCTATATAGAAAACATCATAGGGAATATTGAGGTGACATTAAGAATTACTAAGCAGGACAGCTCTGAAGATATAAAACACTCGGGTACAGTAGACACTGTTAGAACAATTCCATGGCTTTCTGTAGCTCATCTGTTAGCTAAGACAAGTGAGAAAAGGACAAAGTAGGGTTACTTGGTGTAGAAGCTCTCCAAATTAAGAACAGGTAGTGCCAAATTTTAAATAGGTAACAAATGTTAAGTAGAAAATACATTTAGGATTGCAAAGTCAATTTCTAAAAGAGTGTGTGTCATGTCTTCCTTTGCAATACTGGGTTGCAAAATGGAACTGTACTTACCCACCATAATGGGTTTTCTCCGTTATTTAAAAAATAAAAAACAAAATCATGTAATAATAATAATACCCAACATTTAGGCAGAGCTTTCTTTGTGCCATTTTCCAAGCATTTTATATGCATTAGCTCATTTAATCTTCACAACAATCCTATGATGTAAGAACTATTATTTCCATTTTGTAAGTGAAAACAGGCACTGAGATGTTAACTCATTTGCCCAAGATCACATAGCTAATTAAGTGGCAAGACAAGGATTCAAACCAGTTAGTATGGCTTCAAGTAAGGGCTCTTAACCGATATTCTATCATTGCCATTTAACTCATCATCATTACATACTGAAAATATTCTAATAGACATTTTTTAATCATATCTGCAATTTTACAAAGGAAAAATCACGATAGTCAAATTTAGCATTTTTTAACATCAAGAGGTAGGAAAAAAAAAAGTCAAATTACCTGATTAAAAAAATAGTTCAAATAGTTTTGACAATCCAATGAAAACATGTAAACTATGTAAAAAGTAGCTTTCTATAAAAATGCCTATACCAAAAAGTCATAAATGTGGCAATAGCTGTCTTGACAATCTTAATTTACTTTTTCCCCATGTCTAAAGATGTTTAAAAACTTTTCTTGATGGGTATAAGGCAATTTCTGATGAATAAATAAGACAAAGGTGAAATAGGATGCAATGAAATTTAAAATTTTTATGCACTGGGATGTTTAAAAAGATTTTTTCATATAAAATTTTCCATTCATACAAACTCTTTCAAAAATGAGTTAGGGAATAAAATACAGAGGAGACTCTAAGAAGAAAGAAGTGATGTTTGCCTGGCCAAAGCCCCCAAAGGATAAGGTAAATGTAAGAAATAAAACATTCTTTAATAATGAAGCAGGCAGATACTTAACAGTACAGAAGCCATTGGAATAATGATCTTTCACATAGGTCCTTAGAGCACTGTCACAGGATTCTCTCCAAGACTTCAGACCTCCATCTACGTCCTCTGGCTGGGGGTCACTTGCTTCTTTCCGTAAGTGATCAAACTTAAAGGAAATTTTGTTTCTTGGATCTAAAAATCTGCTATTCCCCAGGTCACCATGTTCTGTAATTAAGACCTTCCAAAGAATAATTACAAATATGAGTAATTGTAAAAAGACAGTTCTTGTCAAATTTTACAAAACAAATAAAAATTCTGAAGACAGTTAACTTTTCATTTAGACTTGAGTTTCTCTTCCATATTGATTTTTTAACAAAGTCACATTTTTTTTTTAAATTTAATTTAATTTTTTAAGTAAACTCTACCCCCAACGTGGGGCTTGAACCCATGACCCCAAGATCAAGAGTAGCATGCTCTACTGACTGAGCCAGCCAGGTGCTCCTCAAGTCACATTTTTATTCTTTTTTCTTAAGATTTATTTATTTATTTGAGAAAGAGAGAGAGAGGTTGGGGGGGAGAGGGAGACACTCAAGCAGACTCTGCGTGGAGCCTAACTAGGGGCTTATCTCACAACCCTGAGATCACGACCTGAGCTGAAACAGAGTTGGATGTTCAACCAACTGCACCACCCAGACGCTCCTCACATTTTTATTCTTATAAAAATATTACATTTATGGTTAAGCCACCTCTAAACCACAACATTTCTCCATCCTACCATTCATTTCTTGGTTTCTGTCTAATGTATTGCCAATGTATATACCTTATACATAGCTATAACAATAACTTATCTGTACACTTTTATATTCTTTTTTTACATATTTCATAAAACTTTCCCAGTCATTATACTTAGCATTTAAAATAGGTAATACATTCACATGGTTCAATAATGAAAAAATATATATAAAGTGAGATCTTTTTCTCACCTTTAACTCCTATTCACTAAATTCCTAATAAATTTCCTCTTCTCCACAAGGCAATTGATTTTATTAATTTAAAGCAAGGGTCAGCATGGCAGGTGCCACTTGTTTTTATAAAGTTTTATTGAACACAGCCCTGCTTGTTTGTTTTTGTATTGTCTATGGCTGCTTTCCTGCAACAGCAGGGTGGAGTAGTCACAACTGACCCCGTCCAGCAAAGCTGAAAATATTTACTCTCTGGCTCTTTAAAAAAAATTTGCCAATCCCTGATATATTCTCTCAGAGTTTCTTTTTTACAAATATAAGTATGAATATGTATTCTAACTCCCCACCCCTTTCTTTAACTCAAAAACTAGCATACTATACTATACTTAGTGTTATGGTTTTTTTCTTTTTTAAACTTAATATATCTAGAAGAACTTTCCCGATAAGTACTCTGAGAACTTCTTTGTTTTTGTTACAGTTGTATACTACACCATTGTATGGATATACAAAAATTTATTCAACCAGTCCTCTATTAATGGATAGTTGGGTTGTTTCCAATCTTTTGCTATTATGAACAATACTGCAACAAATGTCCTTGTATGTTCATTATGTACAAATTATGTATGTGTGCCAAGCACTCATGTGAGATAAATTCTCTGAAGGGGGACAACTATGTCAAAGGGAAAAATGTATTCATAATATGGACATGCATAATATAGGGTGTCATACCAAGTTACAAGCACATCATCAACAGAAATTTTAATTGGCATTTCTTTTCATTTTTTAAAGGCATTTTCTAGTTGAACTCTTTATTAATTAGGCAGATAAAATTTTGCATGTGTCAAGTTTCACTTATTTTTTCCTAATTTCCCATTTGTCTTTTGACACATTTACCATTTTTAATAATTACATATAATTTCACAATAGTGACATACCATAATATACTTAATCATTTCTGAATTGAAGGAGGTTTAAGCTACTTACAGTTTCCATTATTGAGAGTCACTATAAATTCTACCATAAATAAAATCTTCTGCTTAAAAAAAATTCTTTGGAAAGAATTCCTAGTTTTGAGATTCCTGTCCTTATTACTAGACTAACCTTTAAAAAACTTGCTTATAATGATGGTGGGAACCATGAATGTAACGGTTTCCTTAGTCTTACCCTCATAAAGCTTTCAAAAATCTTCACAATTCTGTAACTTTCATAACTAAAAGGTAAATATATTCACATTAAATTTTAATCTGCATTTCCTTAATTACTACTTCTGGGCGATCTAACACTTGTCTTTCTTTTCTCTTTTTTCTTTTTTTTTTTTTTGATCTAACACTTTTCTAAGTATGCTTTGTTATTTCCCACTTGGGTGCAAGTGGTTCATGTCTGTTGCTTGTTTATTCACTGAACTCTTGGCATCACCCTTAGGTATCTGAATAACCTCTTTATCTATTATGCTTGAGAAACAGATTTACTCCTTTTTAAATCATATTTAAGCCTTTTTATTATGCAACGGTCACTTTCTTTTTTTTTTTTTTTTTTAAGATTTTATTTATTTATTTGA